CCCCCCAGGACCTTGCTTCCCAGTGGTGTGAAATACCAAATTGACCAACCTTCTGGGCTCTTGTGCTTGAAACACCTCACAGTCAGGGCTGTACAAGTGTCATACAACAGCAGAGTTGTTTAGTGGTAATAGTAGCTGCTGAGACTATTTTAATGATGTTAAGTGATTGTTGCATTGTATAACTGCATCATTAGGGATATATTAGTGCCTACAGGCTTACATAGGCAACTCTTATTTTAATAAATTTAAGGTTTCTCTTAGTGCCGTCTTTCAGCTGCAACAAATGAGCAGCAAACCAGTTAGCACCCAGTGTGACTGTGTTCCTCCCAACCGCATCCTCAGACATAGTGAATTAATTGACCTGCTGTGAAAGTGCTGTTGGATCTGAGCTGCTAGGGAATTTTGTCAGTTTTTCTAACTGTTTTTTTCTTTTCTTTTTTCTCTTTTAGTGTATAATTCAGCTGAACAACTCTTTCACCTCAATTTCAGAGGACTCTCGTTTTCTTTTCAGCTAGACTCCTGGACTGAAACTCCAAAGTACGAGGTCAGCAATCGTTCTTGGTTAATGGATAGTCTTTTTGCCTCTATGGTACTTGCAAAATATCACCTGCAGCGTCTAGCCTGCAAGTAAAAGAAACTAGTAATTTGGAAGAAATTTAACTCCTCAGTTGTGCTCTTATTTGTGCTGTGTATTCATTTTAGAGTTAAACATTCTCCTCCTTTTAGCAGAAGACACGCACTTAAAGCTTTGTACCGTGCACCAGGACTAACGATTCTGTTGTTGAAAAGAATCTGCTAAAAATACGAGCTCCCTCTGTGCAAATACATAAATATTAAGCAATCTAATGTGAAGCACTTTTTTTCATCAGATATTTTTGAATCTCATCAGAGTGATTATGCAACAAAACTAGGACAGGGTTCATAAAACACATTTTTTCTCTTAAGTGTCCTTCAGTGTGAGTGCTTTTAGAAAGCCAAGTGAATGAGCTTTATTTGTGATGCTTGCTGGCACAGTTGGCTAAATGTTTGGATGAATTACTGAATGATTGAATGTATTAATGTGTTCTCTGAAATCTTTGGAAATAAGATCACGTCTTCTGTGACTACCACCTGTGTTAATGAAAGCAACCATAACTAGTTTTGTATGAAGCTGGGGCAGCTTTCAGTTTTATTGTCTATGGTCCTCAGTGAAAAAGAATGCGTGCAATATGGAACCAGTAATAAAACAGAAAAGCATCAAATCAAAGTGTGAGAGATCCACTACCATGGTGGCATTTTTTCATATCACAGATTAGCTCTTTAGAAGTTGTATTTCAATGTATGAGAAAGCATGGAGCTGGTTGGGGAAGTTACCATTTAGCAGTAATGAAGGTCAGCTGAGTTCAAAAGTACTTGATTCATTAAGGTTAGAAAGGCCTCTAAGATGATATAGTCAACTGTAACCCCACCTCACCGTGCCTGTTAACCATGTCCTTCACTCCCATATCTGCATGGTGACATCTCCTCTCCCTGGGCAGCCTGTGCTAGCACCTCACCTCTCTTTCAGAGAAATTGCTCCTAATATCAAACCTGATCTTCCCATAGTACAACTTGAGGCTGCAACCTTTTGTCTTATCAATAGTTACCTGGGAGAAGAGACTGACCCCTGCCTCACTACAGCGCCCTTTCAGAGAGTTGCATAGTGATGATGTCTAACTTGGGTCTAACTTGAGCCTTGTATTCTCCAGACTGAACAACTGCAGTTCCATCAGCTGCTTTCCATGAGACTTGTTCTCCAGATCTTTCACAGTTCCTTTGCCCTTCTCTGGACACATTTTGGGGTCTCATTGCCTTTCCTGCTGTGGGGGACCCAAAACTGAACGCAGTATTTGGAGTGCAGCCTCATCAGGGCTGAGTACAGGGGCATGATTATTCCTTGTCCTGCTGGCTGCACTATTTCTGAATATAGAAGCTGGGATGCCACTGGTCGTCTTGGTCACTGCTGGCTCATGTTCAGCTGGCTGTCAGATCCTCTTCTGCCATGCAGCTTTCCAGACGCCCTGCCCCAAGCCTGTAGCACTGCATGGGATTGTTGTGACCAAAGTGTAGGGCCTGGGACTTGATCTTGTTGAACCTCATCCAGCTGGCCTCAGCCCATTGATCCAGCCTATCCAGATCCCTCTGAAAAGCCTTCCTACCTTCAAGCAGATCAGTGCTTCTTCCCAACTTGTTATCGTTTGCAAACTTTTTGGGGGTATGCTCACTCCCCTGTCCAGATCATCAAAGAACTGTCCTAATCCTGACCCTGGAGAAACACTACTTGAGACTGGCTACCAGCTGGATTGAACTCCATTCACCACTGCTCTCTGGGCCTGGCCATCCAGGCAGTTTTTCTTAACAAGTGGGGAGTACACCTGTCCATGTTGTAGGCTGCCATCTTCTGCAGAAGAACTCTGTGGGAGATGGAATCAAAGGTTGTATTAAAGTCCAGATAGACTACATCCACAGTCTTGCCCTCATCCATCAGGCAGGTCATTTGGTTGTAGAAGGAGATGATGTTGCTCAAGCAGGACCTGCCTTTTGTGAACCCACGCTGATCCCCTGCTGTCCCACACGCTGTAGGTGACTGCACTCAAGATGATCTGCTCAATGACCTTCCCTGATACCGAAGTCAGGCTGGCAGGCATATAGTTGCCTGAATTCTCCTTCCAACCCTTCTCATTGAAGGCTGTTGCATTAGGAAGTCTCCAGTTGCCTGGGACCTCCCTCACTGATCTGTCAGGACTGCTGATAAATGTGGGAAAGCTGCCTAGCAATCAGTTGTGCCAGCTCCCTCAGCACCCTTGGGTGGATCCCATCTGGCCCCTTGTGGAGAAGCAGGTCTCTATTTTCTCTTGAGTTGCGGAGGTTTATTCTTCTCCCCATCCCTGTCTTCAAGCTCAGGGGGCTGAGTACCCTGAGCATAACTGGTCTGATTATTGAAGATAGAAGCAAAGAAGGAATTATGTACCTCAACCTTTTCTTTTTCCCTGGTAATGTTTGCTGATGCATCTGCTGAAGGATGGAGATTCTCCTTGGCCCTTCTTTTGTTGTTAATGTATTTGTAAAAGCATGTTTTTGTTATCTTCTGCAATAGTGGCCCAAAAAAGTTCTAGCTGGGCTTTCACCTTTCTGCTTTTCTCTCTGCATTTCCTAGCAACTCTTCCTAAGTTGTCTGACCCTTTTTCCAAACTGTTTCCAAAGGGACTCTTCCAACCAATGTCCTGGACAGTCCAAAGTCTGCTCTTTAGAAGTCCAAAGTAGCATTTTTGCTGACCCCTCTCCTGACTTAACCAAGAGTAGAGATTCATTTCATGGTCGCTATGTCCAAAGTGACTTCCAAGCACCACATCTCCCACCAGTCTTTTTCTGTTTGTAAAAGTGGGTGCAGTGGGGCATCTCCCCTGGTAGGTTCTTACTAGCTGTGTCAGGAGCACACACCCTAGGAACTCCCTAGACTATTTTCTCTCTGCTGTACTATATTTCCAGCAGTCATCCAGTAAGTTAAAATCCCCCACAGGAACAAGGGTGAATGACTGTGTGACTTCTGCCAGCTGCTTGTAGAATCTGCTTCTTCATCCTGGTTGGGTGGTCTGTAACCAGGATGTCAGCCTTGCTGGCATTCCCCTTGATCCTTATCCAAAGGACAAAAGCTGAAAGCTAACGATAAGCCAAATAAAATATCCCAAGAAAGTAGCTTTTTGTGTATGAGTCGCAAATACATCTATAAATTAAATGGCTGAGCTCTTAAGAAGGTCAGTTCTTATATCAAAGGTCTGAAAGTGTAAGAACATAGTGATAAGTAGAGCAGAAAATTTATGCAGTGAATGAGTGTTCACCAGATAAAAGCATTTTGCAAACCAGCATCAATGTTAAAGGGATGAAATTAACATAGTAGAAGAGAAAAAGGAATTTCTACCTTTAAATAAATTGTATTTAAGTTCTGAGAAATAGGCTATCAGTTCAAATGTTTTTATATTTCTAGTTGGTGGTTGTAAAACCACGAAAACTTGAATACTCATTGCGCACATGGCTCACTGACAAACTAGTGCCATCTTTTGGTGGATCAATGTAGTGAGTATTTCATTCCAGCTTGGGAATCCCAGAGTAGTGTAATGTAAACTCACACCATATATAAGGTTGGATTTTTTTTTAATTTATTTTACCTCCACGTGTTTGGCTAGAAACTTGCCTGGGTTGGTAAGATGTACTGTATTTCTAATGTAGCATTTGACCTGAAGAATTTCTAGTGTGTCAGGTTGATGAGGATGGTTCTCTGTCTCCCCAGCCTAACTTTGCGCATGGTCTGGCTTCTCTGCAAATTCCACATGGTGCGACTGTGAAACGCATGTACATCTACAATGGAAACAGCCTGCAGGATACCAAGTACGTCTGGCTGGTTGTGTGGTTTTGATTATTTACTATGCACTATTTCCTCCTCATTTATCTAGGGTTTTGCAAATGCTAAATGTGATTATATATACTTAGTTTTTTATTTTTTTATTTTTATTTTTATTTATAGTCTTTCAGGAATTAAGTAGTCTGCAGAATGCTTTTAGATATAAATCTCTTTCCAACTTTCCAGTTGGGTACTGTCCCCCAACCTTGTTATCAAGTGCTGATTTGATTTTTGTTACTATGAAATCAGCTTGGCCTACCTGTTGTAGGCTAATTCAATTAAAGTGAAGATTAATTCATGAGATGGAGGAGGAAAGGCAGTGAATCTAGGAAGAGATGCAGATTATTCTTATGCACTTCTTATATTCTGTATTTTTTGCATACTCGTGACCTTTTCCTAGACAAATCCAACTCCTTGTGGCAGGCAGTCAGTCAGTTTGTAGTGTATTGGCACTATGTAATCATGGCAGGACCCTCCTAAGAGTTTTATACTCTCTTGCAATGTAAAAATAAATTATTTTAGAACTTAAGCCATGTGTGTAATCTACTGCTTAGTCTATATATTTTCAATTCCCTGGCTGAGTTTACTGCTCCAAGGAGGTAGCTGATGGAATAGTTGTGTTTGAGCATAGTTAGTGTTTTCTGTGGCAGTGTTCTGCCTTCTTCTAAGCAGCAATTTACTGTACAGCCTCTGATGTTCTGCTCTTTCTAAAAACACCGTTCCTGGATTTTGTTACCCAAGTTAAAATTGGAAGAGCTTTTGTAAATTCTTTCTTTTAGCATATAAACACCCAAACAAATATGTGGTAGTTTTGCAGAAATAATTGCAATTTAATGGCAGGAGAAGGTTAATGCATCCATAGATTACTGCTAAGGAGAAAGGAAACCTTGTTTACGCAGATACTGTCTCCTAATTAGAAATAAGTGCACTTCAGAAAAATGTTGTCTGTGCCCATCCGCGCCGTGCTGGGCTGCAGTGAGAGCACATGCTGATGCGGGGCTGTGCTGCACATGTCTGCCAGCTCAGAACCTGCCCTGCAGCTCCATGCATTGACATAAAGGAGAAAGCCCCATCGAACTGAAGCACAAATAAAGTAGCTGTTTGATTGAAGGTATCTTGTTGGTTTCTGGGATAGTTTTCTCAAATGTTGTTGAAATTGAATTAAAACGAGACCTGTCCCAGGAAAGCAAAGTGATCATACATGTTTTATCCGCATGATCTGCTTTCACATTGTGGACTATGGAGTACATTCCCAGGTGCAGTGAGAGTATGTGGTGAAAGTGCTTCTGCTGTGCTTGGGTGATATGCCCAGTTTGTGTAGTAAGTACAATTAAAAATCATACAATCCCTATTTTCCTGCGCCAAGTCTGAAATGACACATTTTCATAGGAGCAGTTCAGAGGCTAGATGTAGTAATTTCTGGAGTTTTTGAAACTTGCTGTTAGTTTCATTAACAGTAAGGGTCCTTCATTTGAATCCTGGCTTGTTACTCCTTTCTTTTTCTCCAGGATTTCTAATCCTTATGTTAAATTTAACTTCCAGTCTTCAGTCTGAGCTCAATGCTGCTTTGTCAAAATTAATGTGCTCTGTTCCAGTGAACTGCCATCAGGTTGGTAATGGTACATGGGAAGACTGTGTCCTATGTGTACATGTTTGTGTGGTTGGTTTCAGGGCTCCCTTGATGCCGCTCAGCTGTTTCCTTGGCAATGTATATGCTGAGAATGTCGATGTGCTGAGAGATGGGACTGGACCCTCAGGTTTACGGCTTCGCCTACTCACTGCAGGTATTTGTGACACCCAGAGCACCCATAGGCTCTTTGCAGTGCAATTGTAGGTGTTTTCAAAACGGTCTTAAATAACCTTATTTCAAATGATTGGAAGCACAACAAAACTCAGTCACATTCTCCTGGCCTGGGAGACATCACCGAGGGCTGTTCTCTGTAGTTCCAGCTGACAAGTGTGGAAGCGTATCGATGCTATAGCCGGAGACTTCACTTAAAATTCAGTTCAGCTTTATTTTGCTATGGAGCCAAGCAGCCAGAGGGATAGAGGCTGATGTGAACCTTGTCCTTGTATGTGCTTTCAGAAACTGGCAGTCCTTAGAAATTAGGGAAAGGCACAATGACTGCAAATGAGACTTTTTCAGTGACCTTAATGTGTCAATGTCTTTTTAAAAAGAAATGCTGAGATGTTTGTAACAACTTTTACTAGCAGACCCTGCGTTCTTCTTGTGCTGATTTACTAGCTGTGTGTGCTTTAGGGGAGCACTTAGAATATTTTTCTGGTACACAAAAAATGGAAAGGATTAGAACTTGAGATGAAGAATAAAATGGTTAAAGTAGAACAGATATTCTCAAGTTACTTTGCTTCTGTCTTTGCAGAGGGAGAAAATGGAGAGCTGTCTAGGACAGGGAACGTGTATCGTCACGTGCTAGGAAGGCAGTGAGCTATCATATTGTAAGAACGTAAATGATGTTGAGAAATTGGGCACATCTAAGGTAGAGTGTCAAGTTGAGTTAGATGTGTATGTGCAACTCAAGAGAGGTGTTACCAGTGAACAAAATAATTATTAAAATGTCACAGCAGCGTTCAGGCTACCATTTGCAAAGAGGCAGTCTTGGCATGTAGTGTTCCTGTACCAAAGCCTTGCAGAAAGCCCTTTGCAGAACATGCCATGCGGCAGTTGTAGTGTGAGGTTCTCTGCGGGTATGTTAATTTGAGATAACTCTTGCTTAAAAAATTATGGGTGACTAAGTCAAAATTTTCTGATTTATTGTATTTGGAGGTGGCTCTGTGAATAACATACAGTGAGAATAATGTACACTGGGAAAAGCTAAATGTGTCCTGTGTTTTGTATTAATTCATGCATACGTGTACATGCATTCTGGGTGCTGCATTCCTGAAAGCAAATGGGATCACAGACTGATATCCTTCCGCTTGTTGACACGTAGCAACATATGTCAGCCATTCATCTCTGTAATGGGCTTTCAGTGAGATGTATTTGTAACAAACATGGCTCTCTGATGGCTCCTTCTGGTACTGAGAGGTGTCTCCTGTTCCTCAGGCTGTGGCCCAGGTGTGTTGGCCGATGCCAAGATGCGGGTATTTGAGCGCTGCGTGTACTTTGGTGATTCGTGCCAGGATGTGCTGAGCACCTTGGGGTCCCCGCACAAAGTTTTCTACAAGTCTGAAGATAAGGTAAGGGTGCTGCGTAGCACACAGGACTTTGTTACTGTCTCAGTTTAACTACAGGACCTGGGCTTTGTGGGGCCAGCAAAGTTAAACTTCCACGTAGCACAGATGATGAGCAATTAATTTGTCGTACAGTAGACCAGAATGAACCTGCTACATCATTTTGTTTCTAAAAGTATTTTAAGCTGAATTGATGCACATCAGTTTAAATTAATTAAAAAAAACACAAAAACAGAATAATCTGTCCTATCATTTTTAATCAGTAGGAAAATTGATAAAAATGGGCATTTCTATCCACATAAGCCGTAGCAAGTGTGTACCATTTATTTTTTTTTAAACATTTTATTTCATTTGAAGTAACTTGATATACTTTGATCCGTTCCTGGTGTTTTTATGGTAACAGCATGTGAGTAATCCTGCTTCATATAACTGAAAAAGAAAAAGCTGTCATGAAGCACAGTATCTGACATTTTTGAGCAAGGGCTTCAGTAAAAAATGAGATTATGACAATTGGTTTGAATGTAGAGAACCAATTGTTAATAATATTCATCTTTGGCAGTGTTTTTAACTTCTGAAAAATGATTCTTGCAGATGAAAATCCACTCACCCTCGCCCCATAAGCAGGTTCCATCGAAGTGCAATGACTACTTCTTCAATTATTTCACACTTGGAGTGGTGAGTGGGAAGCTTCCATAAACAAATGCATGTGAAGTTTTGATTTCCCTACACAGGAGTCCTTTCAGAATGCCAAAGGCTCTGGGGGATGAGAGACTGAAACTCTTGCTGCCTTAGGAATGTCCGCATATGAAAATAAACACTGACTTTTTCTAGCACTTGTGAATTCAATCAGTAACCTTTTATCTTATCTAGCACTGGGTGGTGAGCTCCTCATTCTTGTGCTTTGGTGTTCTCTTTGATTTTCTCCTTCTTCCATGCCTGATGCATAGGCAGACGAGCTTTTTGTTCTGAAGTCCATACTCCTGTCCAGTAGAACTGAGACAAGTGTGCCAGAGTAGCAATGATGAAAGCTTGCAGAGCTGTGGGAAGTACCTCAGCTTTTATTAGTGTAGTAATACAGCTATTTCGATAGTCTGGATTGGTGTAAATGATTAGTAGAAAGACAAGAGTTCCTTGGAAAAATTGCCAACGTGAGCAAATGAATCTGCAGTTGTGGTCAAGTGCTGTAGGAAGGGTGCTTTTTTTTTTTTTTTAAATTTACAAATAGTCTCATTCTCAAAAATTACTTTTCATAATTCAGTGTGGTTCCAGTTGGATTCATGCTTGTTACTGTATGCAGGTACTGTTGCTACTCATCTCAAGTTTCTTCATGTCTGTCTGTTTTGTTTTTTCTTTTTCTTCAACAGGATATTCTCTTTGATGCAAACACTCACAAGGTGAAGAAATTTGTCTTGCATACAAATTATCCTGGTCATTACAACTTTAACATGTGAGTGTAAAGAACTGATCTGTTAAAGACTATTCTAAAGCAGCAGAGAAGGGCACCTTATGTTCATTTTATAGAGTTCCTGTAATTTTTCCCAAGCGTCTTTGGTGTACCTGGTAACCAGTGAAGGTTTCAAACATCATTATTAGCACATCAGTTATTATTTTCTTTTTTACTCTTAAATGTCTTTATATCGCCAGGTATGTCATCAAGTAGTTCTTGATCCAGCTGGTGTCCAAACTGTCTTGCTAGAGGCAAGATAAGCTGGTGTTTTTCTTGACAGTGTTTCAGTCAGTGCTTAAATTTTCTTTTTTGTTCTCTTGTATATTTCCAGTACTTCTTAAGAGTGAGCTATTTAGGAGGCACACTGAGCTGTGCTCTCTGGTGACAGCTACAGGACCCAGGGGAACAGCATGGAGCTGTGTAAGGGGAGGGTCAAGTTGAGGATTAGGAAGAGGTTCCTCACCAGAGGGTGTTCAGGCCCTGAAGCACGCTGCCCAGAGCAGTGGTCACAGCCCCAAGCTACCAAAGTTCAAGGAGCATTTGAACAATGCTCTCCGACGTATGGTCTGATTTTTGTGTGATCCTGTGTAGAGACAGGAGTTGGACTCAATGATCCTTGTGGGTCCCTTCCAACTCAGGATATTCTGTGGTTCTGTGTGAGCTAAGGAATAAGTTATAGGATGTCTGAATAAAGAGAACATGTTTTCAGGCAGTAAAGCATTATTACTGGAAAAATCTGTAGTACTTTTTCTAAGCTGAGTACTTATCTATCCAGTCTGTGTCCCAAGAGTAATTTGTGCTGAAGGACCTTTTGTGTCCTTTAGAAAATTGTGCTAGAACATTCCAGGTTGATATCCTTTCTGGTGTAGAAAATGAAAGTGGTGATTTTTCCTCTTAATCTGATACTGTCAAGACTCTCCCTTTCATATTATTATGCAAGAAACTTTTCACTGAACTGCTTATTAGGAGCTCTTGATTTGGCTGTGTGGTTTATGTTGGCTCTGCTGTTATCTGATAGCTTTACAATTTGCTCTTTCTAGCTACCATCGCTGTGAATTCAAGATTCCACTAGTCATTAAGCGAGGTGAGTATGTCTTCTGTTGTCCAGTTTCAGGGTGCTTATGCCACAGAACACAAAATGGCAGTATAATGATTTTGCATTTGTCATGCATTCTTGATCATCAGAGGATAGAGATATGAATGTGTTTTCCCAAGTAGTTTGGGATGGAGGGGAGGATGAGTCAGGTAGATTTGAGCCATCTGTCTTAGAAAGGATAACTGGTCCTGAATTTATGGCAGAAAAGCCTTGGGATCAGGAGCACGTGGGAGGTGGCAGGCATATATGGATTACAGCAAAAGAGCTAATCATTTTGTGCTGCATGTGTTAGGCCTGTGCTGTGACCACATTGGGTGGGTGCTATGCAAACACCAGCCAAGGTGCTGCTGCTTTGCCCTGAATCAATATGGTTATTCTTTGGGGCCCAAACAACATTCCCTCCGTGGTCAGTGGTCAATGGACCACAGTCTCCATGGTCAGTGTCTCTTGGTCTCTCCATAGTCAGTGGTCAGTAGACTTTGGTCGGTAGCTCATGGTCGCACTGTGGTCAGTGGTAATGGACCTTGGTCAGTAGCTCAGGGTGCCTCCATGGTCACTGGCAGCACTCCCCTTGTCACCAGCTCCCAGTGAAAACAGGGGTTGGATTGGTTTTTTTTAGGGTTAGATGGTGATAGGTTGACAGTTGGACTTGATGATCTTAGTGGTCTTTTCCAACCTTAATGATTCTGTGGAATTCCATGCTAATCTTGAAGATGAAATTTTTTTGCTGTTTTTTTTTTCTTTTGAAGTGAAAAATACTTAAAGATGAGTTCTGCAGTTTTTTTATATTATTTATACTACCTTGTCTACTTGCTTGGATCATCTTTTAGCTGCAACATTGCTAATTTTCTGTAATGGTGCCACTCTTTTGGCTGAAATAGATTCCCTTGTACATAAAGACTCAGAGTCTGTAAGGCAGAGTTAGTTGAACTGTTGAACTTCTTAATGATGTGCTGCTCACTCTTGAAAGGTTTATTCATGATATTCAGTATGAACTTGGTAAAATGTGGTGTAGTTGGGAATGAAAACAAACAATCAATATATATCATCTACATGATGTAGATAAAATTAAGTATGTCTGTAGCGTCCACTTGAAATGTCCAAGCTCAGGAAATAGCGTTGTATGCTGCTCCCAGGTTCTCGTATGGGATAGCAGTGCTAATTCAGCAAGATACTGAGATGTGCAGAGCTCTGTGCATGCAAGTCATCTAAACAGAGTGTGGGGGAACCTTCTGTAGTGGAAAATCAGTGTGATCCAAAGAACCTTCACTGATCTACTGTCTATCCAGGGAATACTGGGTGCTTGTGAGGCTGGGGATGCGTTCTTCATTTGATTGGTTTTCACTGAAAGCATTCAACTGTGTAAAATGCAATTCTACTGTGGATGTCACAGCAATCTGTGTGTGTAGAAAAATGATGCTTCATTAGAAAAATGAAGCTTATATGAAGATTGATTTGTCACTCAGTCAAGAGGATAAGCATGAAAGTTCTGCTCAGTTTTTTGTTTTTTTTTGTTTTGTTTTGTTTCAATTCTGTTCCTTTAGGTTATAAGGCAATACTTCAGATGCATTCATTTCTGATTCTTTTTATTCAGCTCGAGTATCACCACGGAGCTCTCCTGTATGCATCCATTTCTTTGTTGTTACTGTTGTTCTAGTGGTTTTTTTCTTCACTTGTTTCATTTCTAATTCACCCTTCTGTTGAGGATATGCTGGGGACACATAAGTTGAAAACAAGCATGACAAAACACACACAGAGCCCATCTTTTCCCATCTGGTGGCAGTGTATGATGCTTACTCTCTCCTGTACTTCAGCTTCAGACAGTGAATTGACAGAGTTAAGTTGCAGAGTCACTAAGCTCTTTCACCAGAAAGAGACCACGTTTGTTTAGCAGGTGGAAAATACAGAAGAGCTTTCAATCAAATTAAAGACCATTTGCTACGTTTGGCTTCGTTAACATCTAGCTCCATTCCTACTGCTTCAGGGAAATGCTTTCAGTATTTAGAAGTCACTAAATGTGTGTATAAAACAGTGCTTGAAACCACCAGCAGACAAAGCAATTCTGAGACTGTAAGTGTAAATAGGATGCTGTCCTCACCTGCAGTTTTTCCTGTTTCTTCATGGGTCGTGGGTTTTTTGTTTGTTTACCTTTCTGCAGTAGTGATGCTGGGGGGCTGTCGTTCCCAAGATCTCTGCTTGCTTTGTTTTTGAGGCTGTGGTGCTTCAGCCCCAAGCTGTGGGCTTTGCCGGCCTCCTTTCCAAATGCAGTAGTGTGGGACCTGGGTGGCACGTTGTGTTATTTTGGGAAGTGTCTGTGGTAGGTATGTTAGCCTTACAGAGACGTTGTTTCTCTCACACTGACATTCTTATACACAGCAGGAGAATTAATCAACATTCTGTATGATTCTGGTTGCTAGTAAATGCTAGTTAATTTGTATATCAAGTGATGTAATGCTTGCATGTCTCCCTCTATCTAAGCTAACCTCCCTACATGAAGGACTACACAGGGGTCTGTTTGAGCATGAATTAAAAGGCTTTTCTGTTTTTCTTTCACAGATAGCGCCGATTCACAGACTGAAACATGTACAACGTACAGTAAGGTGAGTCTGTACAGAACTGAATGGTTTCTTCCTTTCCATAAGCCCCTTAAATGTTCTATGCTGAATTTACAATGCTTTCTGTAGAAAGAATAGCAGTTGTTTTATATAGTTTTAAAATATAAAAGTTGCAAGCCAAAACTTACTGTGGTTGTGCTTAGTGATTCAAATGTTTAAGAACTGAAGGTGTTTTAATAGTACACTTTGAGCACACGTAATCACTGCGTGCATCTCACTGTAGCATAGCTGCAGGTAGAAGCAGGACAGAAAGTGACACAGGGAAGAGAGAGAATGGTGGCTGGATGCTAACAGGAAGAGATGTTCTTAAACCAAATTGTCACAGAGCCTTTCTATCTCATGTAGCTCTTGAAGACATGCAGTAGGTAACTAATAAGGTCACATGTTGTTCCCCTTTCTTCTGAAGGATGCCAGTAGTTAGATGTTTTTCAGGGCAGCAAGCCTTGCAAAACTCACTGCCAGTGTGACACCTCGTGAGGGCAGCAGGCTGCTGGAGGATCATATAGCATGCTTTTCCCTGTGAAGTTCCCAACTGGGCAGTTGCTGCTCTGTGTTTGAGAGCTTCTTTAAGTTGAAAAACATTGTGAAAATTCTGCTCAGAAGTGGTTCTACTGTTAACATTCAGCCAGGGTCAGTGCTGTTTTTGTGGCTCTGAGGGTTCACTTTCCTTGCTGAATTCTGGGTTCCACAGCAAAAAAAAAAGAAAAGGCGACCATGAAACGAATCTCTACTCTTGATTAAGTCAGGAGAGGGGTCAGCAACTTGGAAGCTACTTTTCTTTGCTTTCTGCTTTAACTTACATCGCATTCTTCAGTGCTTTGACCTATTTCAACTTTGTATGTGAAACTTCAGCTTTTGGTAAGTCTGTTTACAGTGATAAAAATTGCTGGAAATTCCCTGTCATTAAATAGTGCAGCTTTCCTCCTCTCTTCCCAACCTGCTTGTTAAATGAAGGAGGGACTTTAGGAAAGGCTAGCAGGGTGCTGTTTCTCCCTCTGCAAAAATATGCAAAGGGACGTTTTGCTGAGGTTTCCCACAGCTGCTTAAAGGACATTCATTCACTCTCCCTGAAATGCTACAAGACTCAGAGGACTCACAGATTTTTTATATAAAACTTAAAGCTATTTTGAGACAAAAATGAGAATAAACCCTGAGAGCAATTCCTAACTTTGAAAGTTTCTGTTACTGAGTACAGCTCTAGTCACAAAGTACAAAGTAAATGCAGTTAATCAGCAAACAAGCGTGTTGCAAAGATGGATGTGATTCGATTCCTAGATTGAAAAATAAAAAGTTTTCCTATTACTTGCTTTAACAGAAGGTCTTTGGTATATTTGCAGTGGGACAGTATTCAGGACCTCCTGGGGCACCCTGTAGAGAAGCCAGTGGTACTTCACAGGTAAGTAAAGATCTCTTTCTTTTGCTTGGCAGGGATTGAGCTGATAACAGGGGATGGGTTTAGGTAGAAGGAGATTATTTATTGTGGTAGCTGCTTCTGGGATTCTTTATTGTCAAAGTTTCGTGCTTTTGGAACAAGTCTAGATAATTGCTTTCAGATGAATTAAGGGCTGACATGCAGAAAGAGAATATTTCCAAAATTCCTTGAGCTGTAAAATCCAGTGAAGACCTAAGCAGCATATGAAAGGAATGTTTCTGCTTATGTATAATAAATAGTGTAGGTTGTTTATAGTACAGTCACAGGCATTTCAACAACGTGACATCGGTGTCTGGAACATATGGCAGCAATCTGTCTGAAGAAGTTTTGCTTTTGGGTACACGCATGATTGTTCTACAGTTCTTTCAGACTGACTGAGGATAGAATAGTGTGCTTAAATTTACTCTGTTCCTGCAGGGTCTGAGCTGGTTGTTGGGCAAAAAGGGCATTACCTGTTTGCAGAACTATTGTGGTATCATATGAACCTATGTTATATGTCAGGACAAGTGTAACTTAGGAGTACTGTGCCCTTTCTTCTCCCTTACTCCGGTTTGGTGCCAGTGAGGTAGAACAGAAACCATGTCAAATAAAGCTGGAATAAGATAATGATTATGTATAGCCCTTACCCATTTCTTTTTCTGCGTTCAAGAGAGTAGATCACCCAGAATTTTCTTTACTGAACACGTCTATAAATGTCTTAGACATGCAATTTGAGAAGCCTACCAGTTATAAGAAAGGCCAGAAGCTATTTTCTCATTGTTTTTTTGGCTGTAATCTAAAATCCATTGCAGTGAGCAAGAGTCTGCTATCATTGCATACATGATCAAAAAATATCCACTGATGGATTACTCTTGAAATATACTGTGTAATAACATTGAGATTGTTCCATTTCTGCATCCGAAGACTAATTTTTAACATGAGACAGCACATAGTGAATACGCTTGAAAGAGGCCAAGAGATTGAAGAATGGCAAGGGATCTTGCACAAAAATAATTTGTAATAGATTATATGGTGCTTCTGTCTTCCTAAGCATCTGTGTATTTTCAGAGTTTATCCTGTCCAAGTTCTGTGAAATAGAGTTTTCCTGCAGAGGTCGTTAGTGACTTTGATTCTTTTCTTCCTGGTTGTTAGGAGCCCTTCTGGGACGTTAAACAGAAGTATCCTCTGGCTCACACAGAAACTAGCAATGCTGTTGCACAACATAGATTGGCTTTCTTTTTGTGAAAGCCTTCAGTGCGATAAAGATACTGTACTTTACATTGTATTAATGAATGGTTATTCTTACAAGGAAGATCCCAGTCTTCATGCATCCATTTTTCCCCTTCTCTTCCATTCAGGTCATCATCTCCGAACAACACTAACCCATTTGGGTCAACTTTTTGCTTTGGACTGCAACGAATGATCTTTGAGGTAAGGAGAGAAAAGCCTGATCCCCTGAGCAAAAGAAGATTAGGAGTTTGCTGGTACTGCTACTTAGTGGCTTCTTATTTCAACAAAAGCCAGCATTTAAGCTGTGTTTTTGGAGATGGTGGGCAGAACAGGCAATTTCCCAGTTCCTCTCTGAGGCTGTACATTTGCACATTGAAGCTGGCATTTCAGCACTGTTACCTTCAGCTTGTACTAGCAGGAGGTATGTGAGTTCAGCTCTGAGTACTGGTGGGGCATGCTGGTGTATCAATGTCATGGAAGCCTGGAGATCCCTTTTAGGAACTAGCCATGAGTTTTCTGTTCGTGAGCTTGCTTTCCTTTGTTCTTGGGATTTCTTTGTTCGGGCAGATCAGTTCCATATTTGCTGTTTTGACTCGGTCTGCAGTTCGTCTAATTCTCTTTTTTCCCTGCCATCCTTTTTCAGGTAATGCAGAATAATCACATAGCTTCTGTTACTCTGTATGGCCCAACAAGGCCCAGCAGCCAGTTGAGAACATCGGACCTTCCCCAGTGAGCATCCCCTGCAAAGTCAGCTAATCTAAATGCTACAGAATTAGTACAGCGTGCCTTGATTTGCTGCCACTTATTATACGGAAAGCACGTTATGATTTTTGTTTCTGTTCAATAAGTCTTTCCACCCAGAAGTGGTGTGGAAAGGAAATTCTCTCAACCCTTCATCATGGGGCGTGGAACTGTTGATGGAGGAAAGCAGCTTAGGTGCCTGTGCCGTCGAATGTTCCTCTCGGTTGCCCTCATCCTATGCAGCACAGAGCTGGAGAGTACCCCCATCTGTGCCGACGGGAGGGGGACACAGGAGGGGGACACGTAATGACTGCAAGAGTTAGAAGCACAAACTTTCTGAGCCTTGGAGCATCTGGAAGCAGGTATTGATTTTAGTCTGTTTGTGTTACTGTATTGATGTGGTGGTCACATTTTAAGAAAACGTGTGCGTGTACATATATAGATATAAACACATCGATATTTCTGTGGCTTAGGACATTGTACCAAGTGTGACAAGGATGTATATATGTCCATGATTTCAGGCACCGCATCTTCATGTAACTTTAAACCAAGCAAGTAGCATGTGCATAATACTTGGTTGTAACATTTGCACTACATACACTTTAATTACTTGATAAATGTTTATCTTCACTGAGGAGCATCTGTGTACTGGGCGTGAGTGGGGTGTGATGGTTATTTAATGTACGCTGCGCATAAAGCTTATTTATACAGTGGATGGAGTTGATCCAGCTTCCTGCACTAATACGTACTTGATGTGCTGAAACAATTTTTTTTCTGCCATGGCTGGTTTACTGATTTTTGTTTTTTTTTCATATGCAATTTCAAAAAATGCAATTCTGGAAGAGGTTATTTCTGTGATCGAATTACGTTTTAGCGACGAGGTTTGACACAGTATGTCTGGAAAAAATGGGTGAAGAAATAGCATTGCCTCATATCCATCCCTTCCCAATCCCCTTTTTTTCCTACTGTTTCCTTGGAGAGAGAGAGAGAAGTTGTATCTAAGAGAGAGAATTCCCCGAGCTCTGCCATCACCACAAACACCTTTTCTGTCACTTTTGATGTACGATTTTAAGTTATGCCAAAGGTTTAGCCAAAGACATCCTTCTTGTTTCACCTTCCTGTACATAGGCGCTAACTGCACACCCCACCCCAGCAGACAGGACATAGGCTTCTTTCTAGTTGGGAGATGCTGCTCGCAATGTGTTATCCCAGGAGGATACTTTAGGTTTATAGTTCTTTTATCAGTCTTATCTGGGGGAAATAGGTGGTCTGTCTTTGAAATATTGAACCCTTTTTAAAAATGGACAAGAGAAATGTATAATTTTATCCCATTTTTAATATTTTGGTGTAGCAACTTGTGATACATAGATGACAATTTTGTGAGTTTTACTATGTGTGTACAGATTTTGTAAATATGACATTTTTGTAATTTTAACTCCATGTACAGTGTAACCCTGTATAGTTTATCAATGAATGCGAGATAGGAAATCGAATGTTAACAAGTTTTGGATCTCGGACCAGTAGCAGGGATAAATGTGGTGTGTGTGTGAGACGTTCTTTGCCATTTAGTCTTCCTGTATACTGTGATACTCTAAAATGTTTTGCTAAAGCAAACAAAAAAAAAAGGCACGCGGGGAATCTAATGGATAAGGAAAAAGTTACTGTTTACCTTTATCCCTAGGTGTCACTCCTGTTGAATCCCTGTTCAATCTGTGCTGTCTCCCGTGATCATTGCTTGCTAAGAAAATTCTATGCCTCAACTTTCCTTTAGTTTCCTCTCTAATTTTAATTTCATTTTACATAGCCCTTCTGTAAATTAAATGGAATAATAATGAGCATGTACACTGTAAGAAAAATAAAACAAGACTCTCAGTTATTATTTTTGTGTTAAATACAGTTACTGGGTGTTTTTGTAATAAAACCATGGATGTTCCTGCTTTTTTTTTTTTTTTTTCCCCTTATCAGTTAGTCCTTTTATTTTCATGCCTTTCAGGTGTGATATTTGAAATACCTTACTGGCATCCCTCCTTTTACAGCCCATTCTCCAAAGCAGCAGTACAGATAGGAGCATACGTAGCAGCCTTTGTCTCAGCAGGCACCTGAAACAGAATCACCAAGGTGTTGTTACTTCCCTTGAAATGGGGGATGAGAGTCTTTACAGTGCTGTAAATAACTTGCACTGTGTTTAATGAATGCTGTCGTTCCACCTACATGAGCTTTCAGGTATTTCCCTCAAATGGATCAAGTTTAAAGGCTAAACACCTTGTCTAATGTCTGCAGTGAGAAGAGCAGACCTGATTTCTCCTGCAGCTTGTTTGCACCTTGAGGTTCTTCTGCAGAGAAGCTGAGAGCTTCCTGCAGGGCAGGTGCTTCTCCTGCAGGTGGAGAAGTGCTCAGTTGTGCAGCCTGCCCTCCTGGAATGTGAGATGGCTTTGGTCACGCCGTGCTTACTGTGCTCTCAGAGAACTTTGGGATCTCTGACTGGAGATGCTGTGGGCACTTATGTTCAATACTAAAACATGATCGTACTGCTAATAATTTCAATAACTTCAATAAATCCTTTTCTAACAGTGACTTGGTTTTAGCTGCAGGAGGAGAAATTCTTGATGGAGCAATTTGAGCAAAGGCTACGCAAATGCTTCCAATGTCCACCAGCTGTAGTTCTCCAGGAGTGGGAGGTCAGGACTGTATAGCCCAAGCTATTTAACAGCTTCAGTGCTCCCATTTCACTTGAGGTACTTGGGTGAGTCAAAAAAAAAATATATATATATATATATACACACATATATATAGTAGATAATTAAATGTTCCTTCTTAATAACTCAGAGACTTCTCAAGGTCGATCTTGAAGCATGGAAGAAAACTTGCTTTGAAAAATCTTGCTTGGGCACTAAGAAGAACACAGCTCATTAATTTAGCGTGAATTGTTCTTATTTCCTTTGCTCCCTGTTGTAGCCTTTCGATTTGCTGGCAATTTCTTCTGTAAGATGAGAGAGCTTTTTGTCCATTAGAAGATTACCCTGGCCCCTAACCCTGTCTTTAAGATCTATTAAGAGCACTTTGCTGTTTTGCAGAGCTGGGCAAGAGGAGGAGAGAAGGAGTCTCCAAAGATAATTTATCAGTGAGGAATGAAAACACTTTCCCCTCATTGCTTGGGTTTGGCTTGTTCTTTTTGGTTTCAATCTGCAGTTTCCTCTCAGATGGGTATGGAGAGAGAATGTAGGACAGCTCCTCTGGGTCTTGTTCACTTACCCTTTGTAGGTGCAGCTGTTCATAGCTTGTTTGTCTGAGATGGTTTGCTTTGTTTTCCACTGTCTGGAGTAAGCTAGGCCAAGCAGTGCCTGTACAGATGCCTTAGGGCAGCTAGTGTGGAGCCCTGAGGCCTTGTTAGCATGAAGAGCTGAGGAGCAGTGGGGCACTAATGACAAGTTCAAAGTGCTGGGATGGAATGAGAATAGAGCCTGAAGGTGAGAGCGCATGCACACGTTTTTCTGCTGGGCTTTGAACATTGCAGTGTTTTCCACAGTGTTTCACTTGTTTGTGGTTAACAAAGCTGATCTTGGAGCCCTTCTGGCTGGAGATGAAACTGACCTTCCTTCCCATGCCCATAGGACTGCAGGCAGTTGCTGATCTCCTGGGAGTGTTGCAAGCAGTGCCACTGGATATCACCAGCACCCTCTGCTCCCAAAAACAGTTTCTGTCAAGAAAACTGAATATTCTGTTGTCAGGAACTGCTGCGCTTCTAATTCTTAACAGATTCTTAAAATGAGCCAACAGTGTGCTAGGTGGCCAAGAAGGCCATCCTTGCCTGCATTAGAAATAGTATGGCCAGCAGGAGCAGGGAGGTGATCATCCCCTGTACTCAGCACTGGTGAGGCCGCACTTCAAGTACTGTGTTCAGTTTTGGGCCCCTCAATACAAGAAAGACATTGAGGCCCTTCCAGAGAAGGGCAACAAAACTGGCGAGGGGTCTGGAGCACAAGTCTTACAAGGAGCGGCTGAGAAAGCTGGAATTGTTTAGTGTGGAGAAGAGGAGGCTCAGAGGAGACCTCATTGCACTCTACAGCTTCCTGAAGGGAAGTTGAGGAGGATGAGGAGGGGTTTGGCCTATTCTCCCAGGCAACAAACAGGACCCGAGGAAATGGCCACAAGTTGTACCTGTGGAGGAGGTTAGATTAGACATAAGGAAGAACTTTTTCTCTCAGAGTGGTCAGGCACTGGAATGGCTGCCCAGGAAGCTGGTGGAGTCATTGTCCCTGCAGTGTTCAAGAGGCTTCTGGATGAGGAGCTATGAGATATGGTTTATTAACTGGTAGCAGTGGTGATGGGAGGACGGTTGGACTAGATGATCTTGCAGGTCATTTCCAACCTTGCAGTTCTATGATTCTATGATTTTGCTGGAATAGCTGTCAGGTGGTATGTGAGAACTGATTTGTGCATTAAGGTCATTCACATTCCATCAGAACTATAAAACAGAACCTTTTGTGGGGCTCAGTAACTTCACCAGAGGTGATCCATCCTTTTAGGGCTGGCTGGGCACTTTGCTGGCAGAGGAAAGCAGGGGTGCTGGAGCCTGGTTTTGGAGTTGTGAAGATACAAATGTTCTGAGCTAGCTCAATTATTTCATGTTAACTTTTGACCCAGACACCTCAGCTGTTTTCCCTCCTATAGTGTGGTTGCACTGACACAGAGGCACTCTTCTGTGTCTTGGCTGATCAAACACAGCTTAGCACACCACATGCAGCCAGGTGAAAATGTTGCCACCTGTGTTGTGGGGTTAATGCAATACACACCAGCTCTGGTTTGTGCTTTTTATGCAAGGTATGGCCCAGGATGTTCCAGAGGTAAGGTAAGGGTGAAGCAAAATAAGAGGCAAATGAAAATGAGGCTTTCTGAAAAATGGAACTCTTGAGCATAAAATAGCATCAAGAGTTAAGGAAGTATGGGGCCAGACTTGAATTCTTTTAACGCGACCTTTTCCATCCCCTAATTCATTCCCCTGTAAATGCTATTAGCTCAGTCGTTTTAAAGTACATGTATTGTAGTCTTGGAAGCAAGTTTTAAGTGTCTTAACATTTCAGACCTATGTCACAGATTCCTGCTAATGTTTAACCTTTAATTCCATTATTACTACCCACTGGAGAGTGTTTAATACCAGTCTCACACACACACCAAAAAACCAACCCCGTAATGACTACAAATAAGCATTCCCATCAAGTACATAATCAAAGCAGCCTGAATCACTTAGTTCCCTCTTCACCTCTGCTGGTTTGGGTGAGCTGCAGGAGAGCCTTGGGACGGCCAGCGCTGGTGGGGAGCTGCTGCGGCCTTGGAGGGACTCAAATGCACTCATGCTTTGGGTTTTAGTTTTCCCTCTCATTCCTCAGTTCAGTTTTCTGTAAGGCTGAGAAAATGATGGGAGACTGAATTTGAAAGTTCACTCGTTTTGACCAATTTCAGTGGGCTTAGCAGCATCCTTAGGGAAATGCATGGGGCTGACTTTCAGGGCTGCTGAGACCTGCAGCTCCAGCTGGAAGATACAACCCAAAGGTGCAGCAGTTCTTCAGACTGACATTCTTCACCTCCGGAGCCTGCAGGTCTCTCAGTGCTCTCTGGGCAGTGTTCTTGGTTCTCACATTCAGCATTTAGCTCTGAGATGTTCAATTATTTTTTTTTTCTGCTTGATGTTGCAGTTGGGCTCTGCTTCTGAGAATCTGCTGCAAGAAGATGAATAATTAAGCTGCAGACAAGGAAGCATGGTATTTTAGCACTCCATTGCTTCAGAGTTGTCCTTGGCTTTCTTTTTTATGGTGTCTAAGCCAGCAGTGGCCTGATCTAATGACAGATCTTGGCATTCCCTACCAGTTTATGCCTTCAGAGATGCGTTCAGAGGTGCTGAATGTGAGGCTCAAGCCAGCTTTGCTCCTTATAATGACCAAATCTGGCTGCTTATGTACAGTAGGAAAAAAATGACTTGTGTGCAGGACTCTGGGTTTCAATAAAACGTACCGTACTGTGCTGTGTTAGCTTCGGAGTCTGCCTGCTTTCCTTGCTACTGGTGGTGCCCGCAGAGGAATTTCTTATGTTTTCTTTTCTCGTCGTGGGTTATGGTAATGAACGGAACTGCCAAGCACGGCTTTGCATGAAGCCCCACCTGGTGCAATGAATTAGCCACTTCATAAACCTGCCCCGAAATTTCCTTCTGAAATGGACCGTTTTGGGTTTCCAGGAGGTGTCAGGAGGCTTTGCAGAACTCGAGTTGATGAGATGATCTATATTTATTCTGCAAATTTTGCTGTGCTTAGAGGGGTAAAGCAGAATGGTCACTGCCTGCTTTTTGTGCACTTAATGCGGGAGTTAATGGGTCTTTGTGCTCTCCTTGCAGGCAAAAAAAGGTTTGTATGGAAAGTCAGGCTCTTCATAGGAAATGCATAGTTAGTTCCATTGCTGCAGCTGAAATTAGGTACTGGAGTTTGTGTCTGAGCACCTGGAGGTAACAGCTTCATTTCAGAGCAGCATTTCAGTATTCCTCCCATGATCAGTGCTGCCAAAAGATTGGGTCAAGTGTAAGATTTTAAACGTGTTTCCTCCTTGAGCCTGTCTAGTCTATTTTTAGCACTGTAGTTGCTGTAAGTATCCCAGTTTTCCCTTCCTGATGCAAAGCACACAGCAATGTGCTTTTTGTGCATCTTGCAATCTCTGCCTACAAGGAAGATAACTGATCTGTCCCTGTAAGATGATCTTCTGCATGCTCTGCATTTCCCTGACAAGCTCCACCAGAGCATTCAGAGCTGAGGATCCACACCTAGGAGCTCTCTTCAAAAAGGAGGACAGCAGAGGATCTTTCATCCTCGTTCTCATACACACCTAGGATCTTAGGGCTTTCTGAAAGAGAAGCTCTCTAGTCAAAGGCTTTTTGCCTGCAGTGACAGTAAGCAGAATTTAATAAACTGCAGTGGGTACAGCTCTGCCCTCTGGTATTTCCTCAATGCATTACTTATGCTGGCATTTGGGGTCTGTAAACTTCCAGCTCCACTGCAGAAGCAAATGGAAACTTTTAAACTGGGTTAAACGGGCCTTGCAGCAAAGACTGGCAAATAGAAGCAGATGTACCTTTCGTCAGTAACATCAGATTTATGCTGATTGGACAAAGACATGAGCTGTTCTACAGACAGAGGCAATGCAGGAAGCAGCCTGCCCTAGGCCTGTTTCTGCCAGCCACCAGGAGTGTGCCAGTGCAGGTGGCTCACAGAATTGCAGATGGGAGGGGTTGGAAGGGACCTTGGATGTCATGGAGTTCCAGCCCCCTTGCCCTGGGTAGGGCTGCCGGCCAATGAAGTGCTGTATTAAACTGCTGCTTCGATCTGGGACAAAATGTGTTCATTGGTGCTGTGCTGTGGGCATGCTGTGGATCTGAAGACGTTACAGAGGGAGGAGTCAAACGTTACTGCATCTCCGAGCTCCGAAGGAAGATCTTAATAAGGACTGCTGAACCTGACTGGCTGCTTTGTAGTCACGAGGTAAGCTGTGTTTATTTTTCTAGTGTTACCATCAAGTGATGTCCAGCATAAGGAAAGACTTACCAAGTTGTCCAAAACAATGAATACTGTGTTTCACATTGCTGCCTTCATGAAAAAGATGTGTTGGTTGTGTGCGTGTGGAGATGTACTTGATACACTCACTCTGACAATTGGAGGCATGCCTGCATGCTGTCCTTTAATCATGCTATAAGGAATTTCCCAGGCTGTAAACTAACCACAACACATTTCTCTACAAACTCCTAATTCCGTACATATCGCACATGGTAGCAGATGGGTACAGCTGGCATTCACCCACCAGTGAAGCTCTGGCTCATTCCCACATATTACTCCTTGTGCAGCTCATGTGAGAATTCTGTATTTCAGGATCTTTCCTGAAAATACCCTTATTCTGCTTATGGCCCTTTGATTCCTACGTAGACAACCTTTCCCTGGAAATACATTATTGTAAGGCTTGAACTCTGAAGATGAAGGTAACATGTAAGACATTACAAATATCAGTAGGTATGACCAGTGTGTTTTCCTTCATAGTGTGCCCAGCTGATACAAGAACAAAGTCAGCCTACAGCCAGATGAGAGGAAGGATGTGCCCAGGTCTGAATGCATCTGTACTGCAGGCTCTGATGAAATTAAAGCCGCTTCCCGGAGATTTACGACTGACTGCCATTTCCTCTGAGGCTGTGTGGATGTGCCCTCCTGGTGAGGGATGGCATCTGGAGTTCTCTGAGGGATGGGGGGGAGGAGGGTTGTTGAGGGAGAAGAAATTACAAAAGGATTCGCAAATACAGCTTCAGAGAGGAATCCAGTTCTGAGGGATGTACTGTTTGATATCCAAGGAAGGGATGTTCCTTTATGGTAATCTGCTGCTAGAAAAACAAATTGCTTTGAACTACTGACTGTTCTTTGAAAGGCTAAGCAGCCTAGCGTTCTTATCTGATACTTAAAGTACTTATGAAGTTATAGATTAACTGAAACATGGAAAGTCCTTTACCAACAGAAAGCATACTGGTGGGTTTTTTTTCCCCAAAAGTTTAGAAAGGCTTTTATTCTGAAGCCCTTTTGTCTGAAGAGTGCTTTCTCCCTTCACATGACACCCACAGCAATGCTGAAAGTCTTGGCTGCTCTTTGCAGTTGACAGTACACCAGGAAAAGCACTGAGCTCCAGAGAAGCCAGCCCAGTCCACTGACAAGATTTCCTTTAGTTTGAAGAAGCTCTCAAAAGTGATGCAAGCAGCAGCTCTGTGTGTTTTTCACCCTCACAAGCAAAAGGCCAAAGGATCTCTCCAGATGCAAGCTTTCCGAAGGTCTGCATTAGACAGTGAGAGAGAGATCGGGTGCTGCTGGAAAGCTCTGAGTTTTCACGGAGTGCCAATCAGCACAGTGTAGAAAGTCTGATCTCCCTAAAGTGCCAAAAGATGGTCCTCTGAGTCTTGACAGTGTCAGCGGAGCATGAATTTGAACTCATGTTGCTACAAAGAATGCTTCGTAAATCCATCCCTTCCCTGTCATTTACCCACCTGTCTTCTGCTCAACTGGCCTGGTCACCCTAAGCTTATTTTCTTCTAGTCCATGCTGTCTGCGTCAACTCAATAGCTGTTCTTTTCTGGGGCTTACAGAAAGCCAATCAGGCAGTGATAATTTCATCTGAGCACCCGCTGAGGACAGCTGATTTCCTTAACTCTAGTTAACCATGTTAGTTTGGTTGTTTCTCATTGAGTCTGAATAACTCCAGCCCTAATCAAGGTAACAAGCTGCCAATGATCTCTGTGCTCCTTGGCTTCATCTCTTTCCCTCATCCTCCTTCCATTTTGCACATTTCTAACACTGCTGAAAAATCTCCGTGGATTGCGTTTTGCAATGTCTGTGCACAGCGATCTGCTAAGCACTACTGCAATTCTAATAAATAATAATAAATTAAACATATCGTTATGATTGTTCGGACACATAAATGGAGAAGGATCTACATGGTGTGTGTGAGCAGATGTGGAATTCTGGCAAATTCCTGCCATAGTTTGTCTTGTAAATAGGCTGCACTAAGATACTCCTAAAGTCTTTTCATTTGGCTGCAAGCCCTCCAGGTTCCCTTTCTCAGCCAGTTTGCCACTTTTCTGCTGCCAGTCTGCATGCATTAACTGAGGGGTGGTGATGTCTGCATTGCAATTTGTGCTTTCCTTTTCCACTGGAAAGGCTTCTTCACTTGCCTCTTCTGAGTACAGGAAAGCCTTGGGCTGTGGAGCAGGTTCCACATGAGCCAGATCTCAGCAACTTTCAGACTGTGAACTACCATCAGGTCCTTGTAAAAACAGGGGTCAAATGTCTGTAGGTGTGGGGCCGCAGAAGGCTTGACAATACCAAAGGTCTTGAATCCTTCATGCAAAATGGGTTTGAGGCTGATTCTCTGTAAGCACATGCCCAGAAAAACATCATCGATGGGGAAGAGTTCTACCTCTCCACAAGCCCTGGACAGCTTCCTCATCGTGCAGCTGGACAGCAGGAAACCTCCTCCGCCTGCATAGGCTGGGTAGATGCTGAGGCCATACATGGTCTCTGGGATGTAGTATTTACTCTTCCGGGTGCGGATGGGACGGGCATTGTAGATGATGTCCCCAACGAAGAGGTCCTCAGCGGGGTTGTGTCTCTCGAGGAAGTCAACAATGTTCTCGATGTTAACAAAAACATCAGCATCACCTTTAAAAATGAATTTCACATTGTGGCAGAATTCAGCAGCCCAGTTCAGGAAGTGGATCTCCTTCAGGGTCAGGTTGAAGAAAGTGTCCATGAAATCCCAGAGTAAAATGTCCCGGTACGCCTGACTCTCCTGCTGCATCAGAGTTTCCCACGTTGCCAGTGATGTCCTATTCTTTGGTGTCCCCAGGAGGAATACTCTCAGAATCTGCTCCCCGTTCACCAAACCCTCCCTGCCCCAGGTTTTCCGGACAATCTCTCGTCTGTCAAAGTCTTCAACTACTGATTTGATAGCAATGAGCAGAAAGGGGCCACCAGGTATTCTCCTGCATTTTTTGGGCTGGTTAATGAGGAGGTTGAAGTTCCTGTTGTCCTTGTGTAGGAGGTAACGCTTGAAATTGAAGGCAGAATCAGCTGATGGGGCTGGGGTCTGGACCCTGCCATTAGCCACTTCTGTTTGTCTAGTGATAGGAATTAATGGGGGTCTGGGTACTGTTGCCTCAGTCGGTGTGGGTCTCCAAGGTGCTCTGGGGTCAGAGAATATTCTCTGTGTTACTGAAGGCTTCTTCTGTGTCAGCTCCTTGTCCCCTTTGGGGGCTAAATACTCCAGCTGGGTGTAGAGCAGTGAGCAAAGTGCTACCACCAGGAAAAGGGTACAGATCGCATCCCCCTTGAGATGAACTCTCATTGTCCCTGCGGTCTTCCTGGGGCTGCTAAAAGCTGTGGCTGAGCTGTCCAGCACAATCGTCCATCTGTAAGTAAATGCGTGGCATGTCAGCAATGAGGATTTACAAAACCAGCCTGCAAGTTCATTTTACTTATGCAAACACCAGGGCACGTTAAGGAACTCACTGAAAGACACACAGGTCACAAACCTAACACAGATCTCGGTGCTGTAGCTGTGACTTGGGTAGGTAGGTGTTCAGACACCCCAACACCCTGAAATACAGCATGAAACCAGCCCTTTCTCCCCCCTCCCTCTCTGCTGAGTGCTTTATACCATTTCAGAGACTTCTCCAGTTAGGAAGGTGGAGAATAATGGACAACACCATGCTTCCAGAAGTCTTTAGACTTCAATTTCTTCTGCCGTGGTCCCTCGGTGAATGGGCAGATGTTCTGCGGCAGCATGTCTGGTTGGGCCATCACTGAGTTCTTCCCTGAACGCAAAGTGAGCTCTCCTGAACCAGCTATGATCTGTGCCTTCAGAAGGAATGCATTAGGCACGCTCTTGAATGCACATGGGGCCTCTTTACCGCCAGTAATCTTTATAAAATATTAAACTATTCTGAATAATTTCTCTTCCATTACTAAGGTTGGAAAGGCCATGCTGCCTCTGCCAACTTGCTCCTAACCAGTAAGTGAGAAGCGTGCAGATAAATCCCAGTGCACAGAAACACAGCAGAGACTGGCATTAGGAATGCTTCATTTGCACATGAGAGATGAAGCTGCCCTGTGCTATGCAAGATTTGATTCCCCACTTACGCTCTTCCCAGAGATCTTCTGTCTTATTCGATCAGTCCTTCAGCTGCAAGGAAAAAAAGAGAGTTAGAAGAAGGGGGAAAGCAGGAGGCGAATCTGGCTCAGGGGAAGAGCTGTTGGTAGCCTCACACATACGTGACTACATATCTTGCCCGTGCTGTGTTAGTAAAAAATATCTTTGAAGATATTACAGTTTTCTGTTATCATCTTTGAACTAGCTGAAGTTCAGCTGGCTGAGTGTTTGTGAGAGCACTGCTTCTTGGCTGGATTCTGGCCTCAGCCAGGATCCCCTTTAGCTCAGTGGCATCCTTTTTCAGCAAGTCCTTTCTCCCTGTCATGGGTTGTATCACTGGCTGTGATGCTAGCTGTGAATTTTGGGTTGGACATAAGATAACCTTTTTAAAACTCAAAATGAGATGGACAAGCCTGTAATTATGAAGCAGGAAACCAGTGGCACAGCGTTACTCCCAGAGATGTAGTCAATGTGAAAAAGGCAAGTTGATTTCTTGGCTATTTCCATTGCAGTTGTTAGATGCAGGTTTCTTGGGGCTCTTCATTTGAACATTTTTTCATTGCTACTTGACCCTGTCTCCAGTTTACTCTTGAAGTGAAGAGCAGTTTGTCATCCTATGGCACCAGTTATCTTTTCCCCAAGCACAGCTTCAACATATACACTAACCTCTGCATTGCCCCCACTCTTCTCCCAGTGTTACTTTCACATGTGGTTTGCTTATGCCCCACTAAGGCTCTTTGTGTCCCAGGTAGATTTAAAATCATTTTCTCCCAGCTCTCCCAAACTCGCATGACTTGTGCTAGCAGGGTATGCCATCACGGCACTCCAGAGTGAGCAGATGATGCGCAGCTCTGGGCAGGATGGATCTTGGGTGTCTCTGCTCATCTCTTTCCTCATCTTGACAGCAATTTTTTCCCTCTTTCTATACAAAAGTTTGATCTTATTTCAGATGTCAGGCTCCAGATGGTAATTAGGGAGCTGGATAAAAGTCCTGGCTCTTTCCCGTGTTTAATTTTGTCAGCTACGGTTTGGAATGAAATAATGGAACTCATGATTTCCATGACTTACAGATTTATCCTGCCAGCATCTCCAAATCTGGCAAAAAGGGCCCGCAAAAGAAGCCAATAAAAACCCTGAATTGTTTTAAGCCTGGGCTGATAGCCCAGATTTTCTTCTGTGTTTTCATTTATTGTAAGAAAAGAATCCGAAACAGCGATTTTCATGCTGAACTGAAGCAGTTCGGTGCTGAACATCCAGCCTTCGAAGCGATCCCTTGATCCAGTGATGTGGGTTTCCCAGTCAGTGATAGTTATTTCCTTCTTCTGAGAGAAATGCCCTCAGTCATCACACAGGTGTCATCTCTGTGCTGTCCCTGAGTTCAGAGCAGCTGATGTCTGTGGCAGAGACTGTCATGTCCCAAAGCCAAAAGGGTTATTCATCCTCCTTGGCACCGGGGGCGAAAATAACAATAACAATTACAGGGCTTTCAAAGTGAGCAGGAGATGTGTGATGCCAAACAATAGAGCACATCCTTATGCCACTGGCCTGATGAGTGGAGAGCCCAGCTGCAGCGATTCGGGGCAGAACAGGAGGGTCCTGGCAGAGGTGGGGCCAGAGGGGTGGAGGTGCAGGGCAGGAGGGCTGGGGGCATGCAGCTGCTGGGGCAGTGGGGAGAGCCGGGGGGACCAGCTCCTGCTTTTTGTATATTTGAAAGATTCTGACAAGTAGCCAAGGGAGGCTGCAATAAAAAACTTTTAAAAGATGATTTAAAAAATAAAACCTGCTCGCCCTTCATTCTCACTTGAATGACGTGAAGCTTTGGGCTCATCCTGGAAATGTTCTTCTCTTGCAGCGGCTGCCACATCTCCATTACTTGGCGCTTCTGCTCACACGTGGGGAAAAGCCTTTGGATGCTGCTCCTGGATCTCAGTCACGATGGCGTGGTGATTCTGGCACACTGCTTTGCGCTGGAAGAGTGGTGACTCAGCCTGCTCGGCCTCGGGAAAAGCAGCTGTGATAGCAAAGCAAGCTGCAGATGTGCTACGTGGAGTAAGGGGATCCAGAACAGCCAAGCATAAAGGTGGTCAACCCCAGAGCACGCTGCCCAGCAAGTGTTTCCACCCAGGTCTTCTCCCTCTCTGCTGGAAGATTTGGGTTGTGCAAAGAGAGGGGCTGGGCTGCTGATGGAGATGCCCTACCTGCTTCAAAGAGCTAAATGAAGCGCTGGGGGCTCTCTGAATTTCTGCAGTCCTCAGAGGAACTTGGAAAATCTTGGGTGTTGTGGGTGTTTTGAGGCAGCACTTGAGATTTGGGCTGTTTGTTTTTGCTTTGTGTTGCTTGAACCTGTTTGATGGGAACAGCACCCAGCGCTGGGCTCTGCCAGCAGCAGGGTTGTCCCCCTCCCAGCTCTTTTGCAGCAGCTCTCATTGCGTGTAACTGAAGACCAGAGAACAGTTTTAGGAACCCGACAGCAACTGCACAATGTCCACCGTGAGCAAACCTGCAGGTGGGACTGACGTGGGCCTCCAGCAGAAGGAGAGCATGATGCTCTCTGTGCTTCTCTGCTCCATCTCCTTTGTCAGCTCTGCCCGCTGAGGTGGTGGAACCGTTCTGTGCCACATCTGCCCATGTTAAAGCCATGCAACACCTCTCACCTCCTGCTTATGGTGACACTGCTCTCAGCCCAGTGCTGCTGTTCTGATGTGGAATTCCAGCCCCCAGAGAACCTCACAACAAATCCTGTGGGAAGAGGCAGTGCTTCTTGGTTCCTCAACCCTGCCTCATCTGCCAAAGTGACGCTGGCCAGCTCTTGTGCTGGTAAACCACGTGTCCTGGTGACCACGTCCTGTACATCAGGTCCTGAAAGCGCTGAAGACCTCTGGGACCCCAGAGGACATTTCTCAAATTTCTGGGCTGTTTGGCAGCTGTGGGGATTTCAGCAGCAGCTCACTTGACACAGCAGGTTATTAGATTTTCTATTCTTCTTTCAGCTTCTCCCCCCGTGCTGCCCCTCCCCTTGGCCCAGCTCTGGGAGCAGACTCTCACTCCACGCCAGGCAGACGAACAGAGCTCCCATTCACAGCACTGCTCCCAGGTGATGCTGCCTTTCCTGCAGTCCTTCCTCTCCTGCTCACAGCCACGTTGGCCTCCAGCAGCCCATGGGGATGCCAGGAGCATCCTGGGCTCCTTGAACCTCCTGCTGCTTTGGAACACAGCAGATTGGTCTCAGTGCAAGTCTCACGCAAGACTTCATTTTGCATCCCTTGGGCGTCTGGCTCTGTTGGGTGCTGCAGGAAAACATGAGCACCCAGTGCATGAAAACATTTAGTAGTTTGGGCTGGTTGTGCAGCCTTTAAAAGGAAAAATAACAGTTCTGTGTGTCTGACTGGGAGAAGAAGCACTCTTTATTTGTTGTTTGGCTGTCATGTAACAAACTCTAGTTCTGGCATTACTTCTTTTTTGTTCTTGTTTCTTTGATTTAGTTTGGCACAAAAAAAAACCAAAAAAAGAAATCATCAAAGCGAATGCTGTTAGCGGCCTTGGTGCCAAACAAGCTCTGTGTGTGTGTGTGTGTGTGTGTGCGCGCGCGCGCCTGCCTGCCGCAGGATAGCTGTGGAGAGTCCCATTTGCAGCTCTAGAATTAACAGTGGTGCTGAGCAATCTGAGCGTCTTGCCCAGAAGACGGGGCAGGCTGAAACAAAGAGACACCCTTTGGCACATTGCTTAGCACAAAGCCCTACAAAAAACAAGTAAGAAAAACAGTCTCTATGCTGCCTAACCAGAAAAAAAGCCAGTCTCATTCCATTCTGAACTCCCTAAACAAAGTGAAAGCAGGTTTAATTAGCTGGATGTCTCAGAAGAGCTCTCCTAGGGGTTGGGAGCTGGAGCCAAGTGAAGGCAGTGTGAGGCCACCCGGTGCCCATGAGCAGGCAGCATCCCCACTGCTATGGGGCAGGAGCCCCTGTTTCTCTCCCAGCCTGCCCCAGTGCTGCAATGTGGGGCTCCATCGGCTCCTGTCTGACCGCTCCCATTGTATGACAGCCTCCTGCAGCCCGGCCTGGCGGGGCACGAGGAGATGGTAGATACACGGCGTTGGTGTGGCTGTGGTGTCACACCTGGACGGCACTGTGAGAGGCAGCTCCACAAATGGGCTGACAGGACGGCACGAGCTGCCGAAAGTTCCCGCAAGTTGTGCTCAGCAACTTCCTGCCTCATTCTGCTCTTTCTCTTCCAATTTCCCACGTTTCTCTCCCAGCACGCAGCCATGAGAGCCCAGGGAGAGATTCCCGTCCTCTCGCAGGAGAGAAGCAATTTTCCCGTGCATCGCGCTGTGGCCGCGGAGAAACCCCGGCAGCCGTTCTCTAAAAGCCCCAAACTCTGTGTGTGACAGCGACCGGAGACACGCAAAGAGCGGGGCGAGGGCTGCGCGTTCGGAGGCTGCGATGGCACGTTTGGGGTTCTGCAGGCAGACGCGTCTCAGGAGCCACAGTGCAGAGGGAAGAGCTGGCAGAGGGGAGCGCGGCAAAGAGGAAACGGGAGAACTCCCATCGCTCGCGGCACGGCTCTGCCCCGATGGAACGCACGCAACGTCTACTTACATCCCATTTGATAGCGCGGATCCCGCGTCCCCTCGGTACCGTCCCGGCAGCGAGCTGCCAGGCAGGCACATCTGGATGTAGTTAGCGGAAGACATTCTTCAGCCTTTCAGCAAAACCGAGGCAATTCTGGCCGAGCCAAGCGAGGCTCTCCCCTGCACCCGCGCCGCGCTCACGCTACCGCCCCCCCCGCACGTCCGCGTGGTGCCGGAGGGGCTCCGCCCGCGGGGTCCACCACGAAGGGCACCGTCTGCCCGAGCGCGGTGGGGTGGAAGGAGCGGCCGCACCGCGGAAGGAGCTGGCGGCGGACCCAACGCCGGCACGTGACCGGCAGCTGTCCTGCGGCACAGAGCGCAGGGACGGGCTGGGGGTCCCCTGGGTTCTGCTCTTTTTCTGGCTAAAGCAACCAGGAAAAAGAAAAAAGAAAAAGTTTTGTTTTTTTTTTTTTTTAAATTGTAACCATTATTTTTTTTTAATAGGATTTTTTCTTTCCCTCCCACAATTTGGCTTTTTTGTTTGTTTGTTTTGTTGTTGTTGTTGTTGTTTTTTTTAAATCCCGTTATGATTATTTACCTCTGCAAAGGTTGCAGAAACTGAGGTTGCGTTCAGGCCAAGAAGGAAACTCAACCTGGCGTTTGTTCCTTTATTTTATCAGGGAAGTGATGGGAGGGGATGGAGAGCTGAGCAGAGGCTGAAGGCGGATCATGGAATCCCGAAATCATTAGGGTTGGGAAAGACTCTAAAGTCATCGAGTTCAACCGTCCTCCTACCACCAATATCACCCCTGCCCACGTCCCTCAGTGCCACATCCCCACGGCTGTGGGACACCTCGTGGGACGGTGACTCCCCCCTTCCTGGGCAGTTGTGCCACTGTCTTGTCACTCTTTCAGAGCAGAATTTTTTCCTAATAATCCAACTACACCAAACTTCCCTGAACACCAAGCTAACATCCCCACCTTCTTCTTATTATTTTAAAACTCTGAATTACTTCGACACAAAAAGGTTTTAACAGGAGCTGAGTCTGAATGGTTGTCACCACCTACCCAACAGCAGTTTCTGTTTCTGTGTCTTGGATTCTCTGTTTCTGCACTGGACACACTGACCCACTCATCTTCACTGGGCTGGAGAGTACCCAGTGGGACCTCCAGAGTATGCCAGCTTTTTGTTTATGCCAAGCTTGTCATAAAAGTGTGGTTTTGATCTATTTGGTTGTTTTAAAAAAATCCCTGCGTGGCTGAAGGTACCTCCCTCTTTCTCCTCTATTGCAGCAGCCCCAGCCTATCTACCTTTCATCCCTCCCCTGGGTGACAGTCCCGGAGGTGAGGAACAGACCGGTGTCCCTTGCTCGGAGCTGTGTCACTCTGTAACAGTACTGGGTCGATAATTCGGTCAGTGGTGCTGTGTATGCAGTGCCTTTCTGCCTGCCGTAGGGCAGAGCCCTGCTGCCCATCACATCCCTGGGGGAGCCAAGCTGTGCCGCTGGGAGTACAGCACAGTCATAAATGAAGGAGGGCCGATCTTGGGATTTAAAGCACTGTCTGAGGTTTCAGTGTGTCAGAGTCAAATACTGCTCTGCTCCAGTTCATGGCTAAAGGAATTTCCCCGAGTGCAGCTGTCAGGTCAGCCCATGGCTTCCTGTGCAAACACACTGCAGAAGACGGGAAGTCCAAGCGCAGCAGCTTCCCTGCAGTGGGCTGCTGCCCCTGAGAGCACTGACCACGAGCGGGGCCCTCTGGGGCAGCAGTGGTGCTGTGTGCTCGGTGCAGCCCCACAGATGTAGCAGCACTGGAGGGAACACGGGCAGTGCTGCCAGATGGCACTTCGGGGTGAACCCACATGAGCAGGCTCACCCATGAGTCGCTTGAAAATCACAGAATCACAGAATCACAGAATCGTAGGGGTTGGAAGGGACCTCCAGAGATCATCGAGTCCAACCCCCCTGCCAAAGCAGGATCCCTACACCAGGTCGCACAGGTAGGCGTCCAGGCGGGTCTTGAATATCTCCAGAGAAGGAGACTCCACCACCTCCCTGGGCAGCCTGTTCCAGTGCTCCGTCACCTCACCTAAAGAAGTTCTTGCGCACATTGGTGCGGAACTTCCTATGCTCCACCTTCTGGCCATTTCCCCTTGGGGAAAAAAAAACAGTCTGGCCTCGCCACTTTGCCCCCCACACCTTAGATATTTATAGACCTGGATCAGGTCCCCTCT